TCCAGATGATCAACATCCAGCGGCTGCTGGAGGCGGCCGAGTATCTGGAGCGAAGGGAGAGAGGTAATGGGGGGAGGATGGGTGCCCTCCGTGAGGGGAACGGGGCTGGGGTCAGATCCCCACCGAGGGGCGAGAGTGACCCCGAGAAGGGATCAGAGCAGGTGTTTGCTGGCGGGATGGTGGCAAATCCCCAGCTGAATGAAGGATAGGGCCGATGAGCCCTCCTGAAGGTGGTGGATGAGGTGGAATGTTTTTGCAGAGTGGGGGAGGTTGACGTGGATGTGGTTTCTGGGAGGAAAAGGGGGTATTTGGTGTGAAAGTTTTCCACTGGGCAGGAGGGATGGTGATGGGTGGCTCTGGCTCAGCAGACACGTCAGTATCACGTTGAAATATATCTGGTTTGCCTGGTTCGGATAGGTTGGGCAGGAGGAGGAAGATGAGGCACTCTCTAGACTGTCATGTTGGGTTTTTTTTATATTTTCAATGTTTGAGTGGTGGTGACCTCCCTCCAGGGTTGGCAGAGACTTTATACTTCCCTTCCTCCCTTTTCTCCAGCCCCAGTCCACTTCCCTGTGAAATGAATATATATCCTCAGTCATTTCCCTGAGCTGTTGTGATTAAGGGCCTCCCCAGCTAGGCCAGCAGGTTAGTGGTGAGGCCTGCCTGCTGACTTCTTTATTTTTTCCTTTCTTATTTTTATTTTTTTCTCTCCTTTTTTTTTTTTTTTGATTGTTGCTTTTTGTTATTAATGCCTTGCCTGTTGATTCTCTTGCAGAGTGTGAGCACGGCTATGCCTCGACCTTCCCCTCAGTCCCAAGCCCTGGACTACAGGACCCAAAGCCCACGCGGAGGCTGAGCCGGGCACGGAAATACAGCGGCAGCGGCAGCATTGCCAGCATTGCCACCAGGTACAGTGTGGGCAGGGCTACCTGGGGCTCACAGCTGCAGAACAAAGCTGGAGGCAGTGGAGAGAAATTTCCTCTCTTGGAAAAATGGGAGGAGAATGTGAACAGCTAGATTCAGAGCTGGGGCACACAAGTGCAGCATCCATTCTGGATCTATAGCACTGGAAGTAGAGGGGACACAGGGGAGCTGGATCTGAAGTGGCACTGCCAGCTGACACCATGCCAAGTCTCAGATGCTGCAGAGGGAAGGGGAATAGGGAGATCTGTTCATAAGGTTTAGGGAGAAGGTAGGCAACAGCTATTCCCATTATATACAGCTGATGTCTTTCCAACCCAGAAATCACTGCTTTTAAGGGATAGTGCATGTGCAGCCTGGGTGCTTTGGGATTGTAATGACAGGCATGATTTGAAGCAAGGAAATGTTTTGAAATGGATCCCCTACAACAAATGGGAGAGAGGGAGATGACTGACTGTAATGTACAACATGTTAAAAATTCAGTTCAGGAAAGCAGAGCTGTGTTTCAGTCTGCCTTTCAGGGCAGTGGGATTTCCCAGTTTTTGATAGCTTGGTAATTGTAGAACTCCATGGTTTTGACACTTTTCTTATTACACAAAGGCATGTTTTTTGGTTTCTTAAATCTAGAAGAGACAATAGGATTAAGCCTGTTGCCTGGTGCTGTGGTTGCATTTGCCTCTTCTCTCTCATTCCTGTTCTTTTTATTTTTGTTTGCTACCTTCTGTAGGTTTGTTCAGACCTTGTTGAGATCTTCTGGGATAGAGAAACTTTAGAAACATAGAGTATGCCTTTGAAAAGGCATTTGCAAGCTTGCTTTTACTGCAGCAAGGCCTGTGCAATCCATAAAATGGTGGCAGGTGGCTCAGGTGATTAAGGCTTTCTTAAGGCCATTGGGAAGGACCTGTAAAGGCCTAAGGGGAAGGTGCCTTTGCTTGCAGTGATTCTGCTTCGGCAGCATTTGATAATAAAGGTTGTTTGAAGCAATGTTAGGACACCTTGCTGTGGGGAAGTTTTCTTCATCAGGATCAGCATATCTTGAGCTCTGTGTCTGCTCAATGTTTGTATTTGCTTCTCTACTTCATCCAGCCTCTCCTAATTTGAGGGCATTTGTAGCTCTTTGCTGTTTATCGTGAACCAAAGCCCCCAGTCCTGTGACTTTGTGTTGGAAAATGGTGGCAAATGCTGAATTGAGGTCGGTATTTTTCTCTCTAGGTTTCCCACATACTATTTTTCCATCCCACACCTCTTTGTCTCAAAGGCCTTTGTCATGGCAACCTGCCCTTCTCCAGAGGAGGGCTGGAAGCACATCCCCCTCAGGAACTCCTTAGCACTGAATCCAGCAGCCTGTAGGCTGGAGAGGGATGCAGAGCACTCCCAGTCCCTGGGGCCAGGGTGCTCAGCAGGCCCTGCCAGCAGAGAGCTCCAGGCACAGCTCTCCTGGGGCAGCTCTGTGCTGACACCAGCCCGCTGGGCCCTGGAGCTGACAGGCTGAATATGTTCCTGTGGGGGGAAAGGCAGCAGAGAAGCAGAAGATGTACTTTCTAGTCTTTCTTAAACCTTCTTTATACAAAGAATACTGAGGCTAGATGGAATCTTTAGAGTGAGAGCGTTGTTAGCCAGAGCGTTTCCTCCTGTGCTTGTTCCAGCCTCAGGGAGTGACCAGTGTGGGGTCTGCTCCAGGCAGGGACCAGAGTGGGTCTTTTGGGGAGCTCAGACCTTACATGCACAGTTGGAAATGGAAGTTTCTTTTAGCACAAGTCGTAGCAGCTTGCACTTGCTGTAGGAGATGGCAGGCCTTCCAGATGGCTGAAGTGCCGGGAAGTGACAACTGTGAAGTTTAGGGTGCCTCCAAATTCACTGCAGTGTCTTTTGTGTGATGCTGAGTATAGCATCAGCCTTGTTTAAGGAAGGCTCTGTATCATCTCTTCCTGTTAAAATCAAAGGGGCAATTCAGTAAGTTCTGTCTGGTGGAGTTGGAATGGACTTGGAATTAAATATCAAGTCCTTGATGAGGAACAAAACTTACATTTCATGTGTGGACAAGAGATTTTCTTAGATTGCTTTTGTCTCAAAATGGTTCATTAGTGTAGAGGAATAATGCATTTAGATCTCATGCAGATCTTGTAATAAAACAGCCTCCTCTAAAAAATGTCTCTCAGGCAACCTTGCGAAAGTGACAATGTTTTCCTTTTTTTTTTATTTATACACTTTTACAATTCATTTTACAGATTAGCACGTGTACATTGTTGATGGTCTTTATTGAACCAAATAATCCATGATTTCGTGGTGCCGGCTATTTATGAAGCCTGGCTGCTTGTTTGATTAATATTTTAATTCCAAGTATTTCCCTTCAGCATTTGCAGCCCAGACATGACAGCTATTTCCTCCCAACAGGCTCTGTGCTGTCATTGCACAAACACCCAGAAAGTTCTGAGGAGCAGACAGCCCAGTTCTGGATGGCAGTGGTGGAGCAATTCTTATTCTTACAGAACTATGGTGATCTCACAGTCTCAGCAAAATAATTCTTTTCTACCCCAAATAGGGGTGTGCAGATAAGAGGAAAAAAATTGCTTAATAGTTTCTAATTCTTGTGATGCAATTTTAAGGAAGGATGTTGTGGCTCAGGTTCTCTTTTCCTTTGCTTGTCTCTGTTGTGCAACCAACAGCATGGAGATTGCTGCAGAGGGCTTCCCTCTGCAATCATTATCTACGTGAATGTGCAGTGTTTTGTGCACGTTTTAAAGATATAATGAGTTTGAGTTAAAACATGAACGTATTTAAAAATACAGTTTTGCTTTAGTTGGGGATATTTTGGTATGGGAAATTACCCACCTGCAGAAAATAATTGGAGAATCACAGTCATTGTTACCTGGTGTTTATAATAGACAAGGGAAACTTTTTTTTTTTTAACAAATCCAACCTAACACATAAAAGCAAAACCCCAAGCAAATTAAAAACTGAAGTTAGCCAGCATGTGTTACATTTGAATGTAATATTGCCTCCTTAAATTTGCTCTTGACAAAATTATCTTCTGATTTTTGGGAGGGGTTGGAAAATGAACAGCAGTTTGTTACAGCCTGTAGTATTTAACGTTACTTTTTTCAGAAGGGGTTTCTGGGGCAGAACCTGAGTTTCTAAAACACTGCTAGAGAAGTGAAGTAGTCTGTGCTGGGAGTGAAGTTCTGTGGGTACATTAACTTGCACTCAGTGTCACTGGAAACTGCTGCCATGGACCCTACATGTGCAGTTCTAATAGACTCAATTATTTGAAAGGTTCATTATATTTACTTAGGATTAGCCTGGCTTGATATTTCTACATTTTGGAAAATAATTGAGAAGACTTTTTAATCAATTAAATCATTGTGTCAGCAGGAAATAAAATAAACAGTAGGGTTGCTAAATTATTTTTCCCCCAATAATGCCGTCAATTTAATGAAGTTAAGATTTATAAGGAAATCTGAAATTGCGTTACAATATTAGATTGTCATTTGTGTTTTGTTGTTATTTAGGCTCTCAGGCATGTAGAAAGCCTGTTGTTTTTTGGTCTAATCCTGGGGAAATACCAGGCATCCTCCCAGCAGCACTGGGAGCCCTCAGCTCTCCCAGGAGGCCCATGTTGTTAAGGGCTCTCAAATAATCTATTGCTCAGTTCCATGGGGGAGGGTTTGATCTCTGTCCAGTTTCTTTTTCGTTTCATTTTCTTCTCTTCCCATTATCCTCCCATGTGTCTGGCACTGCCTCCCAAGGGCCTTTCATACACCTACAGTCTGGTAGCAGGTTGCTTGCAGAGCTTGGAGTCAGCAGCTGTGATGAGTATGGTGAGGCATTTTGGGCATGTTATCTTGGAAATCTGGGTGTCTGGGTTTCTTTGCCCTTCTGGCTGTTCTGCTGGTGCAGCTCTCATTTTCTCTGTTGTTGCACTCTCATCTACCCATATAAAACTTTTTTGCCACTTCTAGATCCCATCACTTGGTTTTGTGCTGAACTTCTCTGTAGGCTTTCACTCTCATATCCTTTGAAATTCTCTCCTGAGGGTCCACATGGGGACTGTACTGCTGAAACCCTCAGGTATGCTTGGCTTTGAGCTTGCTTTGTTCACAGTGTCCCAGAGCAAGGACTGTGGGGTGGGTGTGTAGCTGTGCATTAGGTGCTCTGTGTGCCTTAGGTGATGGCTTAATGTGGCACAGGTTCACAAACATGGGTGCAGAAGCTCAAAGGGTGTGGCTGCAGGTGAATCTGCAAGTCAGCCTTGGGTGGCTGGTGCACAAGAAAGCTGATTTACCACAGCAGCTGTACCTCACTGTGCAGGGGAGGAGTAGGGGGGTTGGTGAACATTGCACAGTTTCAATATGTTTTATCTTTTCTGTCAAAGGAGGTTTCCACCCTCCTCCCCCCACATCGTGCTGCTGACTGAGTACCTGGCAATTTTCAGTCCTTCCTGGAGCCTCTGGAGTTAGGACAGTGCTGTAATTATGATTTTACTGGGAGAGAGGGTGGGCAGGTGGCTGAGTGGTTTGCCTGTCTTGTGTAAGGAATTCCTGAAAGAGCAGATGCTGTGTCAGCTCTTGTTTGATCTATTTTTCTGCACAAAGCCCTCACCCCTATCTTCATGTCCCAGAGACCTGGTGTCTGAGTCTTTCTGTCCACAGCTTTCCTGCTTCCTAGGCTCTATAGTTGTTACTTGTTTCTGGATGATACTTTGTTTATTTGCTTGTGAGTTTTTTGGGTTTTTTTTTAGTCCTCTTGCACTGGATCACGCCTCACTCCGCAGCTAGTGGGAGTTGAGTTTTGACTCGCTGTGTGTAGGTGGGTTAGAATCTGGCCCTTGTGTAATATGGGGGGGATGCTTTCTGCCTCAAACCTTGTAGTGCCTTGTAGTGAAGCTCTATTCATGGCTCAGGACCTGGCTTTGCTTTATAGAGTACAAATCCACACATGTAAAACAGAGAATGTGTGAGATCTGCTGTGCCATGTTTTGAGTTATGCT